AGCAAACCCATCAGTAAGTCTTTCGAGCATGATGATTAAATCCTTCGGGTAATTTGTAAGCCTTCACCGAAGAGTAGTGAAGCAAATCCATCAGTAAGTCTTTCGAGCATGATGATGAAATCTTTCGGGTCATTTGTAAGTCTTTCGAGCAAGATGATAAGTCCTTCGGGCCATTTTAAGCCTTCTCGGAAGAGTGTTAAAGCAAACATCAGATTATCAGATGTGGGAGTAAATTTAAGGTTCTCGAGTACAAAGAAGCGGATCAATTGATTAAAAAGAAATGCGCACGAGGAGTCATTAACCAATTCAAGGTCCTTGGAAGAGATAGGTTCAGATGACAGTCGAGTCCAAGAAGATTCTTATATCTAGTTGTTGCGATACAAGCTCCCACAAGAGAAATGGATTCTCAAAGATTCTCTTAAATTCTAATTTTTTCGAGTATAATGTTTTTCAAATCTTCAAGCATACATTAATGAGTTGCAACATTTGATTTTCAGGTTTAACCTTCAAAGTTGAGCCTTCATGAAAGAATAGTGAAGCAGAATCACACCAGAAGATTGTTCAAGTTCTACTCCCTGAAGCAAAAGGGAGTGAACCCGTAGGCAGAAGATTGTTCGAGTTTTACTCCTTGAAGCAAGAGGGAGCGAACCCGTAGGCAGAAGATTGTTCGAGTTCTACCCCCTGAAGTAAGAGGGAGCGAACCCGTAAACAGAAGATTATTCGAGTTCTACTCCCTGAAGAAATAGGGAACGAACCCATTTTTAGAAGATTGTTCGAGTTCCTTAATCCCTTAACAAGAGGGAGCGGACCTGTCATTTGAAGATTTTTCAAGTTTCATTTATCTCGAAGTAACAATGGAGTGCTTTAATCTTTTAAAGTTCTCAAGACCGGACAAACTCAATTATCTTTTGATATTTGCTCTATTCTCGTTACACGACAACGAGCAAAGAGGGGCAGCTGTAGATACTCGATTTGTCCGGGGTTATGTCGGGGTAAACCCGAAGCAGACCAGTTGAAGGCCCAACTCAAGCCCAGTGATCCTGCAGAACAATTTCTAGCCCATGTGAATACTTCTTGGAAAACCAAAAAAAATGGTTATCGGGAGTTAACAAAAAGGGGGGGTTTCAGTTTTCATAGGATGGAGGGGGATATAAAATTGGAGGGTGGGCAGTTCTAAAGAAAAAGGATGGGGACATAGAGAAAAGGAGAGTACAGAGTAAAAACGAGAGAAAACACACAGAACAGAAAAGAAAAAGAAGATTTTGTTTCTAAATTTTTTCTGGTTTATCATTTTGGAAGCAATAAAGGGAAAAAAATTCCGATTTCACGGTTCCATTCGAAGGAAAGCATTAATCATTCACAAAAGGGCAATAATATTTTCAACAACCAGAAACGGATAGCATTAACAAGGAGGTATTTTATCTTATTTTATTTACTTTCTAGCAACTATTTGTGTGTGTTTTGTATTTGTTTTGAAAGAAAATAAGAGTTATAAGCTTATCGATTTGAGTCACTGGGATTAATACTGAAGCATTGAGAATCATTCGGAAAGCCTTGCATGTAGATTATTTGTATTAGTTCCCATCTTTCGTAATTTTAAAATGAAAAATAGAGGTAAATTAGAAGGTTTAGTGTTTACCTTTCGGAGCCAATTGGTGAGTTCTTTGAGCATATCCATCATTCGTAAGAGTAGAGGTTAGGTCTTGAGATATTAAAAAAAATAGAATAGCGATCCAGAGAGAGACTGGAGAAAAATAGAACGGCGATAATGGCAGCTTTGGGCAAGCGTCTCGGTTGAAGGTGGGTGGCCATGGATTTTGGCCCCTGTTTCCATCGAGAAGAAAAGGAAAGAGTTGAAATGGAGAGTGGAGAGTGAAGTTGAGCGGCAGGGGGTTTTCCTGCGTGAAGTAGATTAGGATTAGTTTAATATTAGGTTTAGTTTAATATATATATCTTAGTAATTTTGGGTTAATTATTTCTTGGTCACCAAATACAAAGATAAAATTAGGTTTTAGTCTTCTTATTTTAGCGTGTTTGTATTTCAATCACTTGTAAAATCTATATTCGAATTTTACCGTTTTATTTGTCCTAAAGTCATTATTTTTCAGTGTTTTTTGTTATTCTTTTGGATAAATTCTTTTTGGTACCCTTACTAGTTAAGCTCATTTTTATTTTAATCCTTGTTCTAATTATTGATATATATGTTTAATTTCCACTTCATTTAATTTTAGTCCGGATTAGTAATTTCTTTAGTTGTTGTTGTTTAAACATTTGAATTATAGATTTTTGCATGTTTCTTTTTAATCCCATGTATATTTAGGATTTATTCTGATTTCAGTCCTTTGTAAAAATGAGGTTTTTTATTTTTATTTTTATTTTTTTATTATTATTATTTTAGTTTAAAAATCTTGTATGGTATAATGTGTTCATTTCCACACCATTTATTATCTTGTTTGTTATTATGGTGTTAAAGTTTCTATTCAATATTATGTAGTCTATATTTTAATAAGTACAATTTTTTTCGTAGTTTGATATGCTTGGTTTTTATTTTTGTATTTAAGTCACACTTATACATTATATGTTAATATGCATAGTTTATAATTTTTAATTAAATTATATGTATTTAATTTTTTTTGTATGTCACGTTGTATGATATTTTTAATTTTATTTAATTGATTTTGGCATGACATCCTTTTTCCACAATTTGTATGATATCCTCATGTGCATAACTCGACATATTACATAATTGGATTAAGGGTAATACACTTTAAATTTAAAATTGTTTTAAGTGGGTTGTCATAACGTATTTGAGGTCCGCTTTTAATGATTTTAAAATAAAAGTGTATCCCATTAGTGACGCCTAAAAATTGATACATCACTTTAAAATTTGGGAATGGAAGAAAAAGAAATGTTTGGCTATTTAAATTTATCGAGAAAATGTTGTTATAACTTTTAAGATCTGGTCTCGATATTTTGTAAATAATCGGACATTCTTTATCTTTCTAAAACGACTTGGTAATTTTAATTTAATTTATTTGGGTGCTTTTGAATATTATTAAATTCACATCTTTGTTTTATGGGATCAAAAATCAAATTAAGTTCGAATTTGTAAAGTTCATTGCAAAGACTTTAATTAATCGACGAGGTACCGATTTAGGGTAATGTGGGGGTGCTAATCCTTCTCCACACGTAACCGACTCCCGAACTCATTTTTGGTAACGCATACCTTAATTTGTTGTTTTAATTAAAATTGTTTTTTATTTAAAATGACAAAACGTTTTTGGGTGCCCAATCACACCATAATCAAAGATTGGTGGCGACTTATCGAACCATATGTTTTTATTCATAAAGGAAATCCAAAAAATTTCGAAACGAGAGGTCTTTTAATTCGCATTTGTTTTTAATTTAAAAATCATTTAAAAGAGGATAATTAAGAATTAATGTGATTTTTAAAATCTCACCTTTTAAGGAAAAATTGTTTTGACACAAGTGACTTGTCAATGACCCAAAAAATTTATAGATGGCCAAAAAACATTATGTTTAACCATTCATTACGCTTAAAAAATTACTCTACATATGTTTGTTAGAGTAAAATGCAAAGACTGAAATATTTAAATCCTACAATAGAACTTTGTAAGAATCGTTATGTACTTGCTTATTTGCAATCTAGTGAGGGGTTATTTATCCAAGGTAACTCTCTTGGCCTTTAATGGCGACCACATTGCAGGGTTTTTATTCGTCTTATTTACTTCATTAAAATAATATATTTATTTATTTATTATTCAATATACAATAATTGGAAGAAAAAAATAGTTTTGCAAGTAGTATTCAGATGATATTTAATATATTTTCTAAAAACTCAAAATTGAATTCAACTCAATTAAAAAATTTACGAGTTTAAAATTATTAAATTTAATTTAAATTTAAAATAAAATATTAGAACTTATTCGAGTTAAAAAAAATAAAGATGCGCACTTTCACTTTTTCAAATCTAAGCGTTTTTTTTTTTTTGTAGAACTCTTAAAAAAATCCATCAAATAAAAAAAATAGAGTAACGATTGTTTTTAATTTAGATATTGAAAATCTCAATAATTATGTTCATTATTGTCATTTTTCAAAAATATTATATATATATATATATATATATATATATATATATATATATATATATATATATATATATATATATATCAAATCAATTTAAAAAAATTAATATTATTAATAATTAAATAGTTTATTTTTACTCGTTAAGAACTCAAATCGAACTCAAATCAAACTCACTTAGATAAAGTATTGAGTGAGCTTTGATGGTATCAAACTTAAATAACTTGTGATCTATTTCATTTCATTTACAATCTTAATAATAATATTTTAAAATTTAGTTTATAGTTAATAGATATAATATTTTTTTCAGATTAAAAAGTTAGATTATTATATTATTAACAAAACAATATTACTTAATTAAGTAATAATTAATTTAATGAGATAAAATATTATACTCTTTAATAAAGTAATATTTTAATTTATAATATTATGAATAAAAAAGTTAAAATAAAAGATTTACTATATAATTTTGTATAGGTATAAATTATAATGTGATTATGAGGCAATATATTTTTATAATATTTCTTAGTCATTAATAATGTGTACATCCGTAAATGTAGTTATTTAAATTTAAAACTTTTAGAGATAACATATTTCCTTTTAACCACTAAAATTATTAGATATTATTAATTAATAGAATATCATAGATATATATATATATATATATATATATAACGATGCTTGCTTAGAACATGCCAAATGGAAGCAAAGACCCTATTTGACATTGTCAAAGCAAATTATTTTATATATATATATATATGACCTTGTCAAAGCTCCTCTTTCATTTCATATATATATATATATATTTGACAGTATCTTCTCTTCGTTTCATATAAATAAAGTTTTCTCCATCCGCCATAGCTGAAACAAAAAGAAAGCTTAAGTTGATCAAACAAATGGGTAGGAAAAGAAAGGCCGTGCAAACGGCGGAAGAAGAAGAACCAATGGGTTGGGATGAAATGGTGAAGCAAATCGCCGGACTCGGAGGCGTTAGGAGAACCAGGAAGCGATTCGTGGGCGTCAGGCAAAGGCCGTCGGGTCGATGGGTGGCGGAGATCAAAGACACCATTCAGAAGATAAGGGTTTGGCTAGGCACTTTCGACACGGCGGAGGAAGCGGCGAGGGCCTACGATGAAGCCGCTTGCCTGCTTCGCGGCGCGAATACAAGGACGAATTTTTGGCCTTGTTCTTCGACGTCAATGAAATCGACGCCGGCGCTTTCTTCCAAGATCAGTAACCGTCTTCTTCAAAGGATCAAAGCGAACAATAATTCGTGTTTTCCATTGCCACTTCCAGCGCCCGTTACAATCAGCCAGCAACAGCAGCAGCATCCATTGTTGTTGCAGCAAGTCGAGGAAACTCATGATTTCCTCGACGATCTTCTCGAGGATTTCTCGACTTGGAATGACGTTAATCTCAGTGCTACGAGTGTTGTCGAATCGTGTTCCATGAGAGAATCGGAAGCATTGGATTTCCGGTTCTTGAATGAGATTGGATTGGAGTCGTCTTGCTACTTTTCTCCTTTCCAGCTTGCTGAAGAGCTTCAAGTAGCAACAATGGGCGACGAAGAGTCGATGATATGGTACGAGAGGAAATTCTCGGCTTCACTTTACGCGTTTAATGGGATTCTGGAGCTGTTGAAAAGAAAGGTGGGATCAGAAGGTGGAACGGCGGAACGAAGATCAGAGCAATTAACAAAGCTTTCGAATGCATGCAAAGAGAAGAAGATGAAAGAAGATCATTCTGAAACGGATAGGGGAAAACAAGAGCAAAGCAAGCAAAGTTCATTCGATGCCGAATCTCTTTGGAGCTCACTTGATCTTCCACCCATTGTTGCTTTGTTAACCAACTAATATACTCTTGTCTTCCCTCAAATTATATAAAAATACACTATTATCCTCCTTCCGACTGATTCCACGAGATAATGTTCTCGAATTTTTTTTTTCACGAGATAATGCTTTGGACATATTATTTGCTGAGATAGGGTTAATTGTACAGTGACCAAAGAGGTCGCCATGCACACCCAACGACCAAAGAGGTCGCCATACACGCCCAACGACCAAGGAGGTCGCCATGCACTCGGGGCGACCAAGGATCGGTTCATGTATGGGGAGATTGGGGAGATCGTGCCATGCACTCGGGGCGACCAAGGATCGGTTCATGCATGGGGCACTCGGGGTGACCAAGGATCGGTTCATGCATGGGGAGATTGGGGAGATCGTGCACGACCAAGGATCGGTTCATGCATGGGGCACTCGGGGCGACCAAGGATCGGTTCATGCATGGGGAGATTGGGGAGATCGTTTGTAGGTCGCTATAGAGTCCAGGCGACATGGTAGGTCGCCATGGAGTCCCGGCGACCAAGCTGTGGGTCCTTCACGCCCAAACTTTAACCCTATCCCTCATCATGCATCCATCGCTGGGAGATTCCTTCATCGCGACCAAGCTTTAACCCTATCACTCATGCATGCGTTGCATCCATAGCTGGGAGATTCCTGCATCCGTAGCTGCATGCGTTGCATCCATAACTGCATGATTACAGCGTTAATTTAGCTGTTAAATGCAGCAAATATTGATGTTCAATTGAAGACTTTCAATGCTCAATAGTTATACGATTCAATCCTAATATTATTTTCTTTAATAGTCAAATTTTAATGACTCTGTACAACGATTTTTTACTTTATATAAATGATATGGGGTTTAGGGTAGAAGCAGAAGCAGAAGCAGAACCAGGAGCATAAGCATAAGCACATATAAACTTTGCCGAGAGAAAGAAAAGGAAGAAGAAGAAAATAAGATAAAGGATCAAACATAGTTCGTGAGGTAATTTTTTATTGTTTAATTTAGTTTATTATATGAAATTATTAGTTTGTTAGTTTAGGGTTTAGGGTAAAACTAAAATCTAGTTAATTAGTTTGTTAGTATAAATTATTAGTTTGTTAGTTTAAGTTATATATTATATTATATAAAAATTAGTTTATTAGTTTATTAGTTTAAGTTATTAAATATAAAAAAAATATTAATTAATTTGTTAGTGTCTTTAAACGTATATTAGGTTGTTCATTGAAGTTGAAGTTATATTATAAAAAAAATTAATTAGTGCTTAATTAGTGTGTTATTTTAACTAAGTTATATTATAATAAAGAAATAGTTTATTAGTTTAAGTTATATTATAATATATTAGATTATATAAAATTAATTTGTGGGAGCTATTGATGTTTAAATAAATTAAACGGTTTACACATACAGGGCATTATTCCACAACATTTGCCCATGTTCAAATTGATTCGAAGAAAGAAACAAAGAAGGAAAAGAAAGGAAAGGAGGAAGGCATAAATACGTGAGTAATTTATTATTTTTTGTTGTCCATTTTTTGTTGTTGTGTATGTGTAAATTAGTTATTTAGTAAGTTTATATTAGATTATATAAACTAATTTGTGCGAGATAATTTTTGTTTAAAAAAATATTGTGTTTAAAAATATTTAGTGTTGTTTTAAAAAAATATTTTGTTTTATTTATATTGTATGTGTAAATTAGTAAGGAGTAAAAATTAATTGAATGAAATAATCCGGCCAACGCATTATCACGATATTTTGCCTAACAAATTTGTTTGATATTTTTAAAAAATAAAAAATATTATCAAACTAATCATGATTATTAGTAATAATTACTAAATGATTAGTATTAAATCTAAATCATTAAATATTTATAATAAATAATTATTAGTAATCATGACTAAATCATATTATTATTAAATCATTAAATATCAAATCATTAGATTAATAATAATTATTAAATCATTATTAATAATATTAGTAATCAATCAATTAATCAAGTTAAATAACAAATTTTATTTGATTATTAATATAATAGTATATTATATTATATTTAATGATTTAATGTTTTATGAAATTATCTTATCTAATATTTTAATCTAAATTAATTTATTTTTTTATTTGTAGAGAAAATGAGCAACAACTTTTTCACAATTGTCCATTATAATGGACAGATTATGGAAAATGAGGTCGGAGTAGTTTTTCAGTCTGAAAAACCAATAAATATGATGTTCAAAAAAGACATCACATTTATAGAAATGAAGCATAAGATAGAAAGAAAAATTCGAGCTGCAGTTGATGGTTTGAGGTATAGGTTTATGATATGCCCCAACCCAGTCAGTTATGCTGCAGTTCCACTTGAAGAAGATGATGATATTGGAACCATGGTTGGATTACATGAGGCAACCAATATAGCAGTTATTGAGTTATTTGTTGATGTGCGTAACATATGTGATGTTCCTGGGTCATCAAGAGGTGTGGCTCAAAATCCATCTGAAATGGCTTTATATAGTCAGTTTGAGGAGCCGACATATAGGTTCCCGAACAGTTTTATGGCACTATTGGAAAGTGTAAATGAAGTCGGGGGGCATCTGCAACAGCAGAGTATGAGACGAGAAACATACCGGAATTGGTTGTTGATATTGACGTTGAAAATCGATGGGGAGAAATTCACGATGATTCAAGTGAAGATGAAGAAACCGAAGAACCCGTTTTGGGCGACGACGAAAATATTTTTGGTGGAGGTGCAATTGATGAAGTTCCGTCACCGTATGAAGCTACTCCTCACATGTACGAGATAGACTATGATGCGATGAGGTTACCTGAATTCCCAGACATGTCACATTTACCTCCGTACCAAATGACTGAATCATTCGATAATTCTGGTGAATTTTCAGTTGGGGTGCAATTCAGAGGAAAAAATGAAGCTACGCTGGCGATTAAAGAGTACTGCATCAAATGCCATGTTGATGTCCATGTTGCAGAGTCCAACCAGAAAACCCTATACGCGAAGTGTGTAAAATATGGCCCAGAGTGCAAGTGGAATATCAGAGTGTTGAAAAATCAAAGGCACGATGTTTGGGTCATCACGAGGTACAATGGTCCGCACACATGTTTGCGAAACTCCATCGAACAAGACCACCGACTATTGGACTCAGATGTAATATGTGAATACGAGAAGGCGATGGTTGAAAAGGATCCAAGGATATCTTGTTCAGTGTTAGCTGCATCTATTCGAAGCCAATTTGGATATCAAGTAAAATATGGCAAGGTGTGGATGCGAAGATGAAGGCAATGAAGCTGACGTATGGAGATTGGGATACATCGTACAATGAGCTACCACATTTGCTACAAGCAATGAAGCGATTTATCCTAGGAACCATAGTGAAGTCTCAAATCATGCTCGCATATGACGAAGAAGGTCAACTTCTGCGAGGGAAGAAAATATTTCATAGACTATTTTGGGCATTTAAGGCATGTATTGAAGGATTTTCATTTTGCAAACGTATGATCCAAGTAGATGGTACGTGGCTGTATGGTCAATATAGGCATGTACTTTTGATGGCAGTTGCTCAAGATGGTGAGCGAAATATCTTCCCAATTGCATTCGCCATTGTTGAGGGAGAGACAACAGAGGCTTGGGATTTCTTTCTGACCAATCTACGTCAATATGTCGTTCGTGAAGATGGAGTTTGTTTGATATCCGATAGAGGAACGGGTATTTTGGCGGCAATTGAACGACCAGGAAGTCGTTGGATACCTTCGTATGCATATCCGACATTTTGTATCCGTCATATTGGCAAGAATAGTATCGACCAGTTTCATAACGCACATATTCGTAGCGAGATAGTCAGCATGGGTAAGTTTTATTTACAATATTTGTGCATTTTTTACGTGGTTTTTTTAATTGCGGTTTAACAAAATATATTATGGAACAGGATACGAACTACGTCGACCAAATTTTGAAAAGAGATTGGAGAATTTGAAGGTATTTTACGATGATCAGCGTGTTTGGAAGTGGGCTTCAAAAATACCGCGGGAAAAATGGTCGCAAGCATACGATGAAGGTCGGAGATATGGACATATGATCACAAACCTTGCTGAGGCCATTAATTCGGTATTAAAAGGTACACGCCGTCTCCCAATAGCGAGTGTGGTGAAAGAGACGTACTTTAGATTGGCTAAAGTTTGGTCGGACAAAGGTAAGGAAATTGAGAGTCTCATAAATAGAGGTCAAACTTGGGCTCCTACAGTGGTGGAATCAATGGAAGCAAATGAGAGATTGGCAACATCAATGGTTGTTCATAATTTTGACCGAGTTGGTCATACTTTTGTCGTGTCGTGCATACGCCGTAACGTCGGAGGAGAAGACCAAACATTTAGAGTTGATTTACGACACAAATGGTGTGATTGTGGTCGTTTTCAGGCATGGAAATATCCATGTACTCATACAGTCGCTGCATGTATGTATGCTGGTATAAGCGCATACACTTATGTTGGTGAATGCTTCCACCTACGTAGGATATTAAATGTCTACAGCTATGCGTTCAGACAGATCCCGAATGAATCATATTAGCCCAAAAAAGATCATGATGAATGGCTACCAAATCCAATGCTTCGCAGAAGTCTGAAGGGTCGACCTGAGTCCACTCGAATTCATACCAGTATGGATTTCTATGCTAGAGAGAGAGGTCAAGCAAAGAGATGCGGATTATGTAGGGGTGAAGGCCATTCAAAAAACAATTGTCCTAATTTACCAAGATATAGGCCTTATCATTAATAATCATATATGTATTTCTATGTATTTATCCAGATTATGTGTGGTTCAATTAACGTCATTTTCGTTACATAACTAATATTGTCCCGGGATACATACCATAGTTTGTGCAGTCTGAGGCACCCATCTATTATTAATATTTAATGATTTGATAGTAATGATTAATAATAATGAAATTATTATTAATATTTAATTATTTGATAGTAATGATTAGTAATTATTAATAATAATGAAATTATAA